ATGAAGCAAGCAGCAGTTCTCGGCGCCGCCTTATCGATATTTCATTCCTATAAAAATATTCTATATGCACGGCGGAATTAAGATGCGCGACAATCTATGTGTAAAACTTTGTCACAAGATGAGAGATACCCGGACACTCGTCGCGCGATAACAATATTTCAAAGACAGAATAATGGCCATTCAAGGCCGCGAGGCGAAAGTGAAAGCTTTTCTTTCCCTCCTTGTGCCTTTCAAGCGACGGAATCACACGGCGAGATTCTTCCGTCGTTTCACGACGTAATCGAGCTGTATATCGGAGTAACACTGATTGTGTAATCGGTGCAATATAAAGCTCGCGCAAATTGAGCAACGCGACACGACACGACGCAACAAAACGCAACACAGCCAGCCTCCGTCGGACGGGAAGATGCGGTTTCACGCGTACTGGCTTTCAAAGGCGAACTCCGTCGAGACCCTTCGTGGAAGAGCCGGTCCGATACCAGCGTACGAAGAGCGGAAGATATCTCGTTTCGCGGTCGCTCATTATATGCGACACGTACGCGTTAGACGAGAAATCGCATTCAGTCTCTCACCCTGCGTTCTCTTCGCGCTGATGTCGCTTGGAATGTCGACTCGATTTGCGATTTTGGCTGAGCAAAACTCTTCCCGTCGCGATTCAAAGTGCACGCTAGAGGAGAGAACGTCGGCAAATCGTTCGATCAGACAATGGAATATTAAGGCAGAATAAATCGTCGTAGCTGCTCGATTTCGAACAACTTTTGCGATAATATCCTCCCTCCCTCCTCTCCTACGCTTTCTTCATCAACCATCGGATTCCTCCAGATCCTACTTACAATGATACCGGCCACCCTCCCGGGCGTCGCGCGCGTATTGCACGCGGCTTCCTCCGGCTTCTCGGCCGCGACCGACTGAGCTTGCGCGACGAACCACTTTCGCTTCTCGTAGCCGTGCGACTCTCGCTTTCGTTCGACTAGCTAACAACGAGGTCGGCGGATGCGACGACGGGTACCGCGGCTGAAGTGCGCACGCGAATATCGACGCGGCGGAGAGAGCAGCGTCCGCGGCGCGACGCGAAACAGGAGCTCGCGCAAGCGCCGCCTCGGAGGCGAGAAGCGCGCGCTGCCGAGTTCTCTCGTCGTCGTCGTCGTCGTTGGCTTAACGGAACGTCTTAGCTAGCCCTCCACCTTGTGTCAATTTTACGGCAAAATTATATAACTCGCGCTGTTGATGCGCTCTTCGAAAATTCAACGCAAGAACGTTGCGCTCCCCTTTTCAAGCCAGAAGAGAAAGATTCTTTGGTAGAAAGGAAGCTAGATTGACAGGCAGTGATTCTACACGGAGAAAAGGATTTCTTTGGATTTAGTATATACGTGTTTAATTTGAGCTCGTTTAATATAAACAACATAATTTAATACCAGATATCATTTTGTTTGTATGAAAATGTTGTTGTTTCACTAGAACAAATCATGATTTTTGATTTAAAAAAAATGGTATTTAGAGGAAATAATATTTGATATTCTATACAAAAAACATTATTTCATTATATATTAAATATTGTTTCGCTGAAACAAAGAAATTTTCTAATATTTTTCGGACGTAGTGTTATTTCTTTTAAATAATTATTTGTTTATGACAACTATTGTAATATTTGGAAAATACAAAAAAATATGCTATTTGACGTAAAGATATTTATTGTTTGAAAAACCAAACAATTTTGTTGAATGAAACATTCGTTTGTTTGCTCTGTTTCCAAAAGACAAATTTGTACCAATTAAAACAAATTTACTAATCCCAAAAAAATACTTTTCTCTGTGTACAAATAACAAGCTATTCAGCAAATCATATAAAATTTATACGTTGATTATGCACACCGAAAGAAGTTCCCCCGCTACTAAATAGGGACAAAATGAAAACTAAGTGACAAGAAATTATATATTTGTTATTGCGACTGAGTATATTCGTATGAACATTCAGCTGCATTAAAACTCGGTTGAAACAACTGAAAACAATTGCGTAAGTAGGAATTTTACGGGGAATCTCTCTGTTCCTACAATTGAGTTTTCACCTGGTCCCCAGGCAACGGCAAATTTAGTTACACCAATCAAATTGTTTTCTCCATGCGCTTCTAAATAAGACAAATTTCGTTTTTCGCGTTAGAATTCTTAAGTGCGACACTAGTCCGATAATAGAGCCAGAGGACTGTGTGAGAGGGAAGTCGCGCGTCTTCTCCGAGGAAACCGAGAGCTGGAAAACAAATCAGGAAACAGCAGGAGGGGACGGAAAAGGGTGGGGCGACGAGGAGAGTGGGAAAGAACATCGAGGAGGTGAACGGTATGAGTCCAGAGACGACTGGGGGATAACACCGGGCGGAATCTGCCAACCAGGTTCTAGCCAGCCATCGGCGCCAAAGGCCGCCGCCCGGAGGCGATACAGGGATGGAAAAAGACAGCGAGAGGGGAGGAGGGATGTTTTATATGGACCGGCGGGTTCGCCTCGTTTCTTTTCCTAGGGATGAGTCGACTTCCCGGGGAAATTTCAGCGCGCGTTACGCACCGATCCAGGGCAACGCCACCGCGTGGCTGCCCCCGGGGGAAGATAACGTTCGCGACGCGCGGGGGTGGTTTTATTTGTTCTCCGATAGCGAGAGTCTGCGGACGCGCACCGTCGTGTGACGAGTTCGCGGGGGGTTTAATGCCCCTCCCCTCTTCCTCTCCTTTCCTCTACCCATGATCTTTTTGGGGAAGCGAAATGCCGACGAAACAAAATTGTTTTCTTTCTTCCGTCCTCCTTTCTCTCTCTTCTTATTTTCTCTCTCCGTCGTCGTTTCTCGACGCGAGAGAACGGAGATTTTGGTGGTCGCGCTCCCTCCTCGCGCGGAGGAGCACTTGTGCAGGGGGTCGAATCGCGAGCCCGCTGCTTAAGGATAATTCGCAGTTTCCGGAAATACAGCTACGATACGAAGGAGACGCGTGTAATAATCCGAGAGCCAATCCGGCTCGACTCGTAAAAGCTCGGCGGCGTTTATTCGGAGTACCTTCGACTGAGAGAAAGCGTGAATAGGCGAGGAGATAGCCCGCGTACCCGAAGATGAGAAAGACAGAGCGAGAAGGAAAGAAGCAGATAAAGACGGGGGTTCCGCGCGACTGTCTCCTCGCGCGATAACACGCGAGATTAACCCTCGAATGGCGCAGCGTCCGAGATAAGGTGCAAAGACGCGGGAAATGGAAGATTCAAAGTTCGCTATAACGAGAGCGAGAAATGTGGAAGCTGAGAAAAGCTTTGTGTTAATAATAATTCGCCGAAAAAAAGAGGTCAGTTTTCCTCGATTGAGTCGACGGTGCGTTGAGTCAACTCGATGTAACGAGACTGGCGCGATCAAACGGTTAAATCGAAATACTTCGTAAACACGCGTCATTTACGTAATGGAGCGTGTTAAGCATGATTAGCGTAATTCGTGGCGCGCAAGATCAAACGAGGGTTGAATCTGCGCCAAGAGAGAAATCAAGAGAGCACTTACCTTGCGTGACTACTCCCTCGCAGCCTTTGTCGGAAGTGGCGTGTTCGTAATAGTAGCAGGAAATAATTCGCGTATAATCGGTTTAATCGGATAAACGCCAAGTCGACCAGCCTTGATATTTGTCCGCGAAACGTCGTCTATCGGAACGAATCGGCCAGCGTGAATTAAAAGGGATTCTTTTTCGGAATTATTCCCGCGATAATTCGCTTTATTATGAATAAATATGCGCAAATTCTTCATCACGTATTGATTTTAATTGTTGCGCTCACAGGATTTATTCTAGAGCACGATAAAGTTGATTTTATTCCACTCTAATTTATAAGTCTCAACCAGCAAAGATAAATGATATTATCATTATATTATTAAATATCATCGACGAGTAGCACTGCCGTTTACACGCATGACCACATCATTACGATGCTGTTATGTCACATTATTACCTTACATAATCGTCTGTATTTTATTGCGACACGATAATAACGAGAAAATAAAAGGGAAAGCACGATTTTTGTCGTTGAGAGAACGCAGGACGAGACGAGGAGAGTGAAATCAATTATTCGGCGGCACTTCAAAGCGTCCTTTTCGCCTGCGGAAAAATGAAATCGATAATTGCACGCGCAACTAATTGTGATTGATACATCAGCGCGAACTTGCCGTGCAATTTCATAATTACACAGGGGATTCGAATTAACGGAGCGATGAAGGACGCGATAATTGTGATTGTGAAATTAATTTTCCGCGACAGCATCGCGGAACTAATGTTACATCCGGGGATATTCGCGATCGAACACCGCGCGAACTTCGCACGGCTGTATATATGATGCAATCTCACAGTGTCGTTGCGAAGCTCGGGAACCGAATTCGCGAAAGGAGGAAACAATCGCGGAATTCGCTTGTGCTATAGGCCGATTCCTTTGGCTTTGTTTTGCGCGAGAGAAAGCACTGCCTATCGCCATTCGATGATAACGCGATAAACTGGACGTCGATCTGATCTCGATCGAGTATCGCGAAACGCTCGTATCTTCGACGAAACCCGAGTCGAAATTTTGACCCTATGTTGAACCTTTAATTCCACAGTAGGAACTGAAATAGCAAAGTGAACTTTCAATTTTGATTCTAATAATACAATTCACTCTTACATTATCTTAATAAAAATATTTTAAATTTACATTTTCGCTGTTGGCGTCGAAATAGATTGTTTCGAAGTGGCACTCAAATTAAATCGGTGGAATTAAAGGTTCAAGAGAGAAGTTAGTAAGTGTGAATATCGTCAAAGTAGGTTTTTATTATCTATAGACTATCTAAGTAGGCACAAACTATTGCCTAATTAGATTATTAGACAACTATCTTTAAGAGCGACAAGGTAGCATTGAAATTTCGATTCGAGAAGCGTGGCTGAAGGTACTCCGAACAAGAAGAAGACACCAAATACCGCATGCGGAAGAGAAAAGCGACAAGATGAGCAAGTGGTGACGAGTCCTACCTTAGGATGTAGTTGACGCATACGACGGAGATCGGTTTTTGTTGTTTGGAGCAGTGGATGAGGGTGGCTTGAGTGATGACCCAGGCGTAGCCGCCCTTTTTACCGAGGAATCTGTACGCCACGGTCTCGCACTGGCCCTTGCTGAATACTGCAACAGTGGAGAGAAACGTGAGTAAGTGAGTGCGAGTGACAAGTGGACGAGAGAGCGCGGTCGCCCCAGGACTCCGGGCACACACATGGCGCGCGCGCACACCTTTCGGCTGATGAAAGATGCGGTGCGGGATTGCAAACGCGATCAACGGAGGGGGGGAAACCTTCGATCCGAGGGTCTCGGATGAACTGTGATGACGAGTGAGAAAAGAATCAACGGGCTAAGCATACTTACTCGCGAAACGCGACTATCGTCGTAATATCCGTTTCTCCCTTCGATCGTAAAAGCGACATATCCTGCGCGCTCGAAAATTTATCGTTTAATCAACAAAACATTGATAAGAATTTTTGTCCACCGGTGTGAACATGTGCGAGAAAATGGAACAATGGGACGTAAAAATTGCACTGTCTGCGGAATCGACGCGGATTTTGTCGCGCTACAAAAGTATAATCGAATTCCGCAAAGAGGCTGAGGGCCACGAAAGGAGAGATCAAACATTTTATTGCGGTTTCGATTGCCATTTCCGTCAGCATCGTAAGATTACTTCGCGTAGATTTCAGAAGCAGCTCGTTCGGGATACGCATTATCTCTCGTTCTTAGCCAGGGGTTGGGACATATATATATATATATATATATATATCCCCTCGCGCGTAAAACGTAACCGAGGCGGGATTAGTGCTGAGCTGATTCGGCTCGGAAAGCTGAGATTGACGTCAAAAGGAAGGATCGTTGATGTCGCGGATACTCAACACGTGAAACTCCTTGAGCTTTCAAATCATCTTTTAGTCCGATCGGCGCTGATTACATTTTTTTATTGCTCTAACAAAAATGTAACAATAACAATATATAGTAACGTGCATATAAAGCTGTTATTACACTGACATTATAGTGGTACTTATTGTAAAAGTAGTTTTTCTGATTAATAATTATTAATTAATTATAATTATCTCACTATGCGAAAAATTGTTAATCACAAGTACCAAATGCTTTTTTTAAAAAGTGTTTTTTTTTTTTGGAGAAGTGGCTTTTGAACTTTTGATATTACGTGTTTTGACGATTTAACGTCAGATAAAAGTTATTCACTGATTTTATTATCCAACGATAGCCGCGACAATTGCAACATGATGTATCTCGCGATACACTGATATACATATTATTAAGGCTAATCTCCATCGATGATAATGTCAATATGGTAGAACGTCGCATACATTTTTTCGCGGTCTCGTGCTCCATCGCCATATTTCGTTTTCTACCATTTAACCGCCGTTTAACGAGTCAATTACCAAAACTGCGATAAAGGCGCCAACGTCACGGTACGATCGCGGTTACATTCTAAATACTCCTAAATATTGGTAAATACCAGTGCGAGACGCAGATGCATAAGTGGTCCTCGATAACGTTATGCGCTCGTTGTGGTAGCCCGTAAAAAAAGGTCTTCTCATCGGGTCGTGATAAGAGATACGATCGTCCTTGAAACCTTTTCGCCCGGTCATGTCGTTCACCTAGGTCGACCCCTACGCCTTTATACCATTTTGCTTTAACGGTTACTACCACGATCGATCGGTTACAACCTGCTTCCGTGTTACGCGCACATTGTGTAATATCTTGGAAAGGATCGTCGGGGCATACAACAGTGCGAATAATGTTTTTTCCACCTAAATCGTTTTTCACTCGATTATTAACGTCCCACTTCGGGACACGCGATTTTTGCAATACGCAAGCGATATTTTTGGAAATTCCAACAGCGTAGGTGTATATTATTGCGGAAATATGAGAGAATTATTGAATATATCATGAATATAAATTATATAAATCAATTATATACTTACGGCACTTGAAACACTTGTCCAGTGCAAAATTATCAAGCGCGTGATAGAACTCGAAGACTGACCGTCCCATCAGCTCCTCGCTGTTCCAGCCCAGGTACTCGGCCAATCTGATCGCGACAAGAGTAAAGTGTTTTTGTCGTTACAATATACACGTATATAGTAATACGTAAAACTTTCAATAAAAGCGTTTATTTTCATCGTTTTCAAAATATAACACGTGTATTTATAATGCAATGCGTCAAAAAGGAAATCGTCTTTCAAGTCACGTGCGCGATAATACGCATGATTATTTATTGAAAAATAACGATAAAACCGATAAAACGTTTAATCAATCTTTTTAAATCTCAGGCGCTAATATTATGTCGCGTGGGATAATCAATTGATCGACCAATTGATCGCAGTAGAAAATTAAATTTCTGCATCGGCCCGCGATGAGAGAGAGAGAGAGAGAGAGAGAGAGAGAGAGAATAGAGCGACGATTGACCGCGTTGCAAGAAAATAATCTAAAGTTGTGTCGCTGGGAACGAAGAAATACTGTATAAAGTCGCGTCAAAAGAGAGTTAATCGAAGAGAGAGAGGAAAAGAAAAGAGAGAGAAAAAACACAAGGCGATGGATGAAAGCGTTCCCACTTACTTTTCGTCGGCGTAAGTGAACTTCATGCTGAGGCTGTGCTTCGACAAGAACGTATGGCGTCCCAGGGGTATTTCGATGTTGCTGGGGTGAGGTATAGGACTACCCACGAGCACTAGAGAAATATTTGTGTTGTCGATTTCTGCGGACTCGTCCTCCTTCCCTCGCTCCTCATTATCGACCTCTACGCAGTTCGAGTTCGAATCGCGGATATTGGTCAATTTGCCAGTGCAGTGTATTACCTGCGTGAACATTTTAAAATGTGGACTACACACTTTAAATGTAGTTTTACACAAATTAACTCTTAAATCCCGTGGAATGTCATGTCGCAAAAGGCAGTATTTACGACTAGATATTTGTACAAACCTTATAAGACGCGCTCTTCAAGTTGACTTTCCTGCCCTTACTTGTAAGGGTGCACTTGAGCCGCAAGAAGAAACTGCAGGCACGTTTCTCGCTCTTCTCCGACGGTTTCGACGAGAGGCACTCGCGCAACTCGTCATGGTCGCAGGGATGGCTGTATTCGTAGACACTCTGACCCATCATGTCCATCTGAAAACACACACAAAGCGCAAAACGCAAATACATAAATTTATCGTCTCATTTTATTTCGCAGCCCGTTTCATTCTATTCATCTGAGAGTGGAAATAAAAAAAATACAAGGCTTTCAATTATAAATGTTCACTTATATTCTCGATAATAACGTACGTTTAATTCAAATATTTGGCCAACACTTTTCTATATATTGAAAGATTTGACTATTTTATGCAAACTCGCTTTACACAGTCGCATAAGCGAGTTATTCTTGTAAAAATTACAGATAAAGGGTCATTGTTTTAAGAGATAAGATATATTAAAGGCAATTTAAAAAATAATTAAACTTTATCGCAGTCTAGTCTTTGTCGGACAATAATAGCCAGTGTTTGGTTTCGTCGAACGTACTTGTGACACTCCGAGATAATCGCTGACGTTCTCCGACAGGTAGACCATATTGCCATCACTGGACAGTACTAACATAAAACCGTTGAGGGCTTTCGGAAACAGCTCGTCCATTTCCGTGGACGACTCGGACTTCGCCATCGAAGCTGGAACTTATGTTAACAATCGGACAATTTAGCCATCGTGATGGTTTTATTAAACTAAATATTGAACAATTCAATCTTGTTTAACAATCGTATATTTTACTAAGCATCGCAGAGAAAATTGATTCAGAATTATTTGACTTAGTTTATAATAAAGAATAACGACAATTTGTAATTAGTGAGCGCCAGTTAAGTAACATTCTATATATTTCACACGCACTAACTTTAAACATTTAATTTCAATCCGTAACAAGTAGTTTGAAATAAGTGTAAAGCGATAAAGAAACTGTGATTGGACAACGTTTCCATTAGAGTGTTATAATGTTGATATAGTCTTATCTAAATTGTCTACAAAAATGTACAAAGATTAAAAAAGAAAAAAAATCACTCATTCAACGATATCTGACAATATCTGATTCTGAATTGTTTTTATATTTATTGAAGGTAAAGCAAAGTATATTTCTTTATAGTATTTATAATATTTTATAAATATTTATATTTTTTCTTTATTATATAGATATATAGATAAATAACCAGGAAAATTCGAGCGATTTAAAAAAAAAAACAGTAAAACATATTTACAAATTATGTTTGTAAGAACTGTTTGTATGTCGTAGAAGTTAGTAACAGATATTATTATCAGATAGATTATATAAAAAATGAGTGAGACTTGAAATGAAAAAAAAGTTGGAAAAGGTCAAAAATACTCACTGGAATTAACAACAGCGCGGACTTTGAGGTAGGCGATCGCCAATCTCATGACACTGGCTTTATCTAAGTGCATTGCCTGTTCCGGTTTGACAGGAAGGGCGGCTGCAAGCTCCGTGAAAATGTCGGTCTCTCTGCTGCGTCTGGAACGTGCTGCATCGCGAGATCTCTCCTTCCTCTTCTCATTACTCCTGCAACAATAAGAAAAGTCTCGTCAAGACCCTCGAACTCGGGCACGTTCAGTGTTGGTGAAATAAGATAAAATGCGCTCGTGAATTCCGTCCTGGAAAACTGGGCGAGAAATGATTTTGCGTGCATATGTATGTGTGTGTCACATATATATCCCTCCTTAGAAATCTACTTTTCCGAATGATTCACACGTGTGGTCGAGGGAATTCTCCGACTATCTACTGCTTAGACTTCTTTTAGCAAATAAACGCCCTGAAATATCTCGTGAACGACAAGTGTCACGTCGGACATGCACTATCGCTATGATAAATATTCTCGGTTCGTTGAAGGCTGCTGTTGCCAACCTGTCACGACGTTACACCATCGATTACGCAAAAAACCCGCTAATCACGCACCACGGTGCGTATAATTTGGGCGCGGCTCGATCTAAAAATGTAACGTTGCTCAGTAGCGAGCGCGGATGCACGCATGACGATTGGAGCAATTATCATGAGTAATTTGTCAAATTTGAAGGTGAGAGAGATTAAATCTCATACAACCAGACCTGCAAGCATTCATTACATAAATATCGGACTCAATTTCATCAGATTTTTTCCGTTGAAAGAATCGTTCCTGCAAATGAAATATATTGAACTGTCGACGATTCTCAAAACACAAAACCAACGAAAGTGCACTCGATGGTCGCTCAACGACAGTGTTATCGTCGTTGAATGCAACCACCGGCTCGAAAGGTGTATCTTTTTTCGGTCGCCCTCGACGGAAAACGTCAACGTTATCGCGAATAAGCCGTTATCGGCGAGCCGACCTTTGAACGGTACTTCTTTTTAAGTCGATCTGGTCGCGCCTTCCCTCCCACACCCTCCTGACGTCACTATCGCCTCGAATCAGTAAGAGCCGAACCGATCGACTAATCCGACCGAATGTCTGACACAAACTACGTGCACCTTGATGGAGGAGAAAGGGGGACAATTCCGCCGGAGAACAGTTGACGCAATCCCCGGCAGGAGCGGAAAGACGAAAAAAAGGGAAGAGAAAAAAGCAGTGCGCGAATACAAACGGCCAGACACGACGGCCCACGTCTATAGTTTTAAAATTTCAGAAAGAAAATGTCTTCCCTCCTAAAATTTTCCACAGATTTCTTCAGTTTCTGTCTCAAGGGTACAAAAATTCGTTTGGAGAAAGTCACGTGTGTGTGTCGGTTAAAACCTGCCGCATTGACTTTCTCTTTCGTAAGGAAGGTAAGAAATCAGAAAAATTCGCGGAGAAACTGGAAGAAATCGGGGTTTTTTCCGAAAATTTAAAGCTACACCCACGTCGACTTACAGATAATCCTCGAGAAGCTGGTCGTCCTCCGCGTAGCCGTAACGCCAATAATCGTTATTGTTGTAATCCATATGCAGATTCTCGTACATGCACGGCGGCAAGAGGGGCGCGCCATGATCGTACGAGGTGTCGTAAAGGGGACAGCGATCGCTCGCCGGGCACTGCAGCCAGCGTTTCTCGCTGCAGAAATTGAACAATTCCGGACAGTCGTTGCAGAACCAATCGCCCGGATCACCGTGTCCCAGATTATCTCGCCCCAGTTCGCAGATGTCCAGCTCACACGCCGCCGCAGTGCGGGATCGCGGATCACCGAGCCTCAAATCGCACGTCGCTCGCTGATCGTAAAAGCCCGGAAGAAGCGCACGAGGTCGCGATAGTTCGGCCGACTCAGCGGGGGGGTGCGGTAGCCCGCCGCAGATCGGCGAATCGTTCGATTCGCCGAAAACGCAAGGTCGCAGCGTCGCGTTTGCCAAGTCATGCGGCCCCACCTGGCAAGGTCGCGGTAGACCGGCGAAGCCCAGCTCGTCGGATTCTAAGTAAGGAGGCCGCGGAGGATAATAAGGGTCCACCATATCGCTCTCCGGGCCGTCGTCGAGCCGTTCACGACGAACCTGCCGCGTTTGATTGTCCACCCTCGCGAATCTCGGTCTTCTCGAGTAAATCGCGCGACCGCCGTTGCTCGCCGGCTTGTCCGCCGACGGGTCGAAGTACATCGCGAGGTCCTCCACGTCCACCGGCCCCGTCAACAGTTGGGGACAATTCTTCCAGTTCGATGGATTCGTTGTCGCGCAAGTCTTCAACTGCGGACCGACCAATTGGCCGTCGCCATGTAACAACCCTTGCTCCATGAGCGGAGCAACATTGTTGCACGGTGCTGGGGCGAAATTGCAGGACAACGCGGTACCGCGCGCCACGTTGCAGCTCGCGGGCAACGGGTCGTATGGGAGTTTCATCGGGGCCCAGAGAAGAGACGTCTCGATATCGCGAGCCCGTGCTCCGCTATTATCACGGGCGAGATGTGACATAACGCCGGCGGAGGGTGCGGCGACGTTCGTGGCTCGCATCACGGCTGCATCGCGACCATAAAGCGGCAACGAGGAGGACGACTTCGGTAAATCGCCCGACGACTGATCGATCCGCGTCGTCACGTGACTCTGTTACTCCTCGAAATCCGCGTAACCCCGACGCTTTGCCGATCCAATTGTGCGAATCGGTGCAACGACCCTGTTGCTGACGTCCGTCGTGACCCTCCTTCTGCTCCCGCCACCTCCTTCCTAGTCTTCCCTTCTGGTGTCCTGCAAGCACGCGTTCATTGTGCTCGAGTTTTTCGTTCTCGCCGCGCGCGATCGCTAAGAGAGACTCGGCGCCCTGATTATTCCGCCAAGTGATCCGCAGCGATTTTTCATTGTTAATTTTCACTCCCCTCGCCGAAAATCCCGTGCTCTTTTATCACTCTGATTTCGCGCCGAGTCGTCCTCTTTTTCTCCTTCGCGAAAAGCCTCGTTGAAAACTTTTCACCGTGAACAATCTTTTCTTTTTCGCCTCATTGAGAACTTATCTCGGCCATATCCGGTCCACGTGTCACGCGACCTTCGGGAATTACACGAACCATGCGGACAAATCAGGGTGTGATTCTAATTTCACTTTATAAATGGAAGCTACAATCGTCATCCACCTGTCCTCTCTTCTACATTATTCTCTGTCCCTCTCCGTCTGTTTGTTTACTCATTCCATATCTAGTGTTCCTTTTCCCAGGAACACTAGCTGCCCCCTCTTTACGCTCGGCACACGTGTCGTACGTTCATTAACAATTCTGATCGACCACGCGGAAAAATAAAACCCCTCCAGAGATTCCACTCGCCGTTTCGCACCTTCTCTCCCTCTCCGCCGTCTTTCACGGTCTTTCCCACTCCTCCCTTTCCCTGTGGGAGTCTCCTCTGTACTCTTCGTACTTTTTCAATGCACGTTCTGGCACTCGATCTCTTAGTTCACCTCACTTTCCTCTCTCACCTATCTCTTCATCTATCCCTCAGTTTCCTCAAGCTTCTCTCTCCTCCTCCCAAAACGACAGTCACCCACGGTAATGACTCCTCTTTTATTATCTCTCGCTGTCTTATCTGTTCTATTGTGCCTTCTTTTTTTCACGAAGCCGTGCCCCGAGAGAATCACCAGCGAGGTTGATCGGACGTCGTCGATCCTGTTCACTGTTTCGTCGACATCCCTGGCTACTCCCGCGCGTGATCTTTTCGATCCACTTCCACGGTTCACGCGATACTAAAGCCGGTAGCGTCGATACACCTCCTGCAGTATGCTGGACGCTTTGGATGACCGTTATCTCGCTCGTCGATAACGATACACTCTATCGTCGACATCACGCGCAACATAATAAAGTTCCCGGGCGCAATCTTGCGCCATTTCGGGGGTTTTAGTCGGTCTCACTCACGGGCGTTTGATAGCGCCAACTTGTCATAATACGTTGCATCATGATGTTTCATTCTTGCATTGTTCATTGTTGCAATGTAAATTTCAAATCTCTCTCTTCCTCTCCGCTGAGAGGAGTTTTCTACAAACTTTTAACACAACCATCGCACAAAAGAGTTGAGAAAGAATTCTAATTATTGCGAGTCGGGTAATTTTTCTCGTATGCGCGTAGCATCTCGAAAATACGGACAAAAAAAGGCCGGATATTATTCATCTCTGTACTTGATTTCCAGTATAAAAAGAAATAATAAATTTCCAGTATAAAAGGAAATAACAAATCGCCGTGTAATTCGCTAGAAAATTATGTAATCAAAATGGAAACCGATTCATGGAACACGCGATGATAACGATCTTTCATTCGCATTGAGTAGACGTCGATGAAAGGAAAGGGAGCAAAACAACGCAATTAGCATACGTTCACATTCAGCAGCATGTAAACAGCGCGCAATTTCTGAATTTTTGTGAATACATTACGATTACGAGGATCCAGCCGGGAATAAAACGTATGCCTGTTTATCCAATGTTTATCTCACGATGGTGTTAACATTTTTCGCACACCACCGTCACCGTTACAATAGCGAATTACAAAATTCGGTTGACAGTATAATTAATAATATTAATTATTATAAAATTAATAATAAGGAATGCTTCTTGCTAAAATGAAGCAATGTCATTCCTGCGTGGTTCTCTGATACGCACATTAAAATTTTATTGAATTCTAACTCAAATACTAATCTTTGGAACCAATAAGTCAACATGTAACTTATCTGCTCACTTCACTCTTCACGATCATGTTTGTTTAGTAATTTTCCGGTAATTTAAACGCTTGGTGGACCGACCATGATCCCAAACTGTTCCTATCGCAAGAGATAACGCGAATCAGTGCAGCGCTCGAACGAAATAAACAGCAGCATTGTGCACGTATAACAAATAACTTTCGACTGTTTCCAAGTCTATCATTTTTTTTGCCCGATTTCAATTGAATTTATTTATCAAAGACGTATCTGAAAAATAAATAAATTCAATTCTCACCTCGTTTCGATTAATTCTCCATTGGCAATACATCCAATTTTCTGGAGGCAATTAATCACGCTTCATTAACTTAATGAGGCGCGTAATGTCATAGTATGGGTCGCTGGTATTCTCAACATGTTAATAATATTAAATAAATAAATAAATAAAAGTCATGCATGTTTATTTCGAGTTTCGTAGATATACAATAACTAACATTTACAGGCCGAATAATACTCGTCGTGCCGCTTTGGACATCTGACAACTAATGGAGGCACGAAAAGTCGATGAAATCTGTAGCGATAAGGCCTCTTGGGGTTTCTGCAATGGAAACAAATGACGCATAGATGTTTTCTTACATTGTCAGTGATTATCTTCGGTATTCAATGCATTCAACCTATTTGAAGATTTTTTTTCTTTTCAATTTTCCCGAATTACGATTATCCTCGATATTTAACGCCTGTTAAAACGTTTTTTTTTTTCAACAAGTTCTACAAGTTTTTAACGTATCTGCGGATCTTAGATTTATTTTTGATAATTCTTAAAAGACATTCCTTTTGGACATCGGATTGTGCTGATGTTCATTTAGATAAAAATATTACATTCATACTTTCATTAACCGTACATCTCTGATTACACTCGGCACATTATAGACTTTTTGAAGCGCAAGCGATAACGGCAATTTTTATTGATCATCGTTTAACGCTGCGCAATTGATTCATATTCGTGAAAGAAAAAAAAAACGATCGTCAACTCTCCGATTACCGCGAGTCCGAAATAATTTGGGAAGGAAACTTTCCAGAAGGCCACTGTCCGCGCCTCGTATGTAATCGCCTCTGTGTATACAGAGAACGTCCCACTTCTGCCGCATCACTTCTCAATGACGAAATCCTCGATGATTCGGAGTCGAGATTCCATGATAATCGGCAATTCGAAACTTTGGCCCCGGATTGTTGAAATTGTCATTGAGAAACGGCTCTAAAAATTTGTCCTTCGTGAAAACGTGGCAGCTTATCATTCATGAGTGAATTTGCAATTCTGAGCGATGTATATTTTCCATATAATTAAACATCAAATTGAATTTCCGTTAGCCAAGTAAACACCACGCTAATTCGATTAGTCAGAAATCCGTTTATACGTTTATCGTTTTAATTAAACTCTCGCGGAAACTATGTCGCTTCGAGAACAGAACGGAGTCGTGACAGAATCGTCTCGAAAAACATGATCCGGTAGAAACGGGACACCCTGCGGACACGCACATATACGCGCCACGCATCATCAGCGAGATATCTAGCCCGGAGCGGAGAGAGCTCCCTTCACTTATCATGGGTTGTACAGAAGAATATATATCACTGTTAGCTTATTAACTGACATAATAATATCTACTTTTCCTTCCTCCCGCCCGCTATCTTCTCTGCCAACTTTTAGTTTCTATCCATTATTCACCGAAATAAAAAATCGTTTTATTCATTCGTGTAAATTTGTGGAATATGTTACATCATGTGTATGTGCGTATATCAGACTAATCGCAAAAAAAGTTCCACCTCGTCTTTTCTATCGTGTAAAACTATTCCTAGTTTCTTTACACGTCATAAATGTACTTTCCATACAAGGGAAAGCCCACACACGCATACACACACGTAGGGACCGAGGATATCGTAAATTAAACAGAAAGACTCGCGTGAGAAATACATGAGACGACAAGGAAAAGTCGGTTTCTCGTTTGGTTTATGCAATTCGCAGGCTACGTGACGGAAAGTAACGCACAAAATTAAGATGAAAATAATAATCGCTTCGCAATGTGCATTTATTACGCCTTCTCACTACATAATATGATAACTCGTCACATAAACGAGATATTTTTTATAGCAATTACAATCAAGTACGTTATCATATCACGCATGCGGACGTGCCGAGAGAGCGGATCGTCGTCTTCGTTGATCTCGTCTCACACGGATGATGATTATCGCGTGACCCCACTGACGTTCTTGATTTCCTCGTAATTTTAGTTTCCAAGTAGTGGAGCGGTTATTTTCGCGCGTATCACGCTGCGAACATTTGCGGTTCCCCGTGCGGGGAATTCTTTTGGCTGATAAAAGCTTTCTGGGTGGGCCATGTGATTTCTCGACAAACTTTCTCGTAACACCCAACGTGTCGTATCGCACGAATATTTCTATTCGCACTCGCGTATATCACGTTTTAAAATCCGAAATTTGTGAAATGTATGTTGTGACATTCTACAAATTGATGCAAACGATAAAATTGTTCACTTCGCTGAGAAATCAGTAAAAAGTAAAAGGCAGAATCATTGCCACTTGTGACTTATTTAAATGCAACATTTTAATCGAATGATGGATTTTTAATTATTTAACTAAATGAAATAACTTATTACTAGTTAATTATTATCTGACTTAATTCCGAGAAATAAAATCAATTTAATTGAATAAGATTGATTAATGCCGTAAACAATGATACATCAGGTATGTAAGATACGATGATTAATCATTCCTAGAACTTTGAACGTACACGTGGCTGTAAAGTAAGACTGTGAAATAAAAAATCGCGACTATAATTTCCGTTCTACGACTATGACTGTAAAGTAGAGGTTTAAAGTTTAAATAGAATAGACATTCTGCGCTCTTATTGCGCGTTCTTAATTACGCATGAAATTAGCGACGTCACCTGTGCCTTCTGTTCGCACGATAAAGAACTGCTTTTAATTACTCCAAAATGATAATGATGTTAAATCTCGTTAGATTTAAGTTTTTTGATAATAGCCATACCATGATCATGCTATCATCGTCCTCATTTCATGATATAAGATATGAATTATCAAAATCCGGAGATTATTTCTGTCTTGATGAAAATATATTTCTAGCAAGTTGGAAGCGTAAAACTGCGACAAAAAAACATTTAAAAAAATATTCTTCATATTTTCATATCTCTCATACTTTCTACGTGATGTATCTTGTAACGATTCTTTGTGTGCTCATTTTCATGATATCAATTATTAATTATTATAATAACAATTAATTGTGATAGTGCTAAGATCAAAGTCACGACATATTTTTCTTTTTACATCAGATTTTTCATTATTTACGTCAAACATTCTTGCGCGGGAAAAACAATTCCGTTGGTGTAACTGAATTTTCCGTTGCCTCGGAATCAAACAAAAATTCAGTTGTAGGAATAGAAAGATTTCTGTAGGAGATTTCTGTTCAGTTAATTGTTCTCAGTCGTAGTAACAAAGATATTACTAGTTTTTTTTCATTCTTTGTCACTAAGTTTTCATCCGGTCCCTATTCTGCTGCAGAAACTGAGTTTTTTCTGCGTGACAGTTGCATTGTTTTGTATTTTTTAAAGTAAGAACGTTTGGTTCGTTCTTTGTTTCTTATATAACAGTGAGTAATGAAATACCGGAATATTGATTGTTGAAATCGTGCAGACACTGGTAAATGCGGCGCAATCACATGCACGCGAATTAAGCACGAGATTGTTCGTGTAAACCAGTCGAAGGGAAAGAGAAATCGAACTAAAAAGGCAAACCACGGCGCCATTGATAATATTCATGGACACTCGAGAAGAAGTTGGTCCGTGAATTATATTGGAATTGTTACATCACGATATTAATAACCGTTCGTATATATATAACATATTGTTAGGAACATATCATAGAGATTAAACGAAAGAAGAGGAGCAGAAAAACTTTCTCGGAGAGACTTATTAATAATATATACGTTAACCGTGCGCATAATAAAATATCGATACACATACACAAATATTTTTTCATTATCGATGTTTATATTCGCGACGAAATGACTCACAAGTTTCATTTACGAGCAAACGTTGAGAGACAAGACATAAACTAAATGAAACTAAGAAATAATATGAATCACAATATCAGCCACTATTATGTAAACAGCATAGAAACGAATAAACATGATAAGAGAAATAGTAAAATCGGCTCTAATGAAGTAAAACATCCTTCAACAGACTGTCACGGGATGAAAAGGGAACTGGAGCAACTCTAGCACCGTAAATAATTTCAAAATCAAGCAAAGCAAGATCCCAAGGATAAACCTAGGACACACCGTTATTGTTTAAGTGATGCAAATCGAAGTCGAGAACGAAGCGATTTGATTGATATTAGTTTGGAATACAATTTAAAAGTCAATTAATGAAGAGAGAGAGAGAGGACAGAGCGATGATAGAGACCCCGATAAATGCGCGCGCGTGAAAGGAAGAGAGAGAGAGAAAAGGAGTGACGAAGAAAGAGGACGGAGATCACGTGGTGTTAGAGCGAGACTGCGACAGGGTGCCGAACGGGAGCGAAAGAGCAAGACGGAAAACGGCAATTAGAGAGAAACGACGATCCCGTACATATACGCGACATCAAAGCGGAGCGATTGCGTCAAGCGCACCCGTCTCTCTCTCTTTTGCATTTCTCTCTTTCTCTCTCGCTATCCTTCTTTCATACTGACACTCTCTGTCATTTTGCCTCGGTGCCTATGTCTCCATGCTCCGTATAATTTTACGTTATACGAGTGATATTGTTACGAATTGACGCACCGACGACACGAGGGGGATCGCGAGAACGACTGGCGACGAACGAATCCATACGGACTCCGTTGCGAATAAAGAAAGTTGCCTCTTGGCTCACTCACCTCCTTTTTTCCTTGTGTTTCTTCTCCTTCCTGTGGATGTCCATGACGGGACGACGGTGGACGACAGGACGTTTCGAGCGGACGAACGCACACGGCACTTGAGCGCACTGCACTTTTAACGCACAGAACCGGGACACTCTCGGTCACTGCCAAGGAACGTATCCACGGTGTGCGCTCTCTCTCTCTCCTCCACACGCGACTACTCCGCTCTCTCAACCGACTTGGTACACTGCAAAAGTCACCACCTTCCGTCCGTGGTCTCGTTCTTTATCAGTCTCTCCCAGCGTGGGTTATCAAGATCGATGAGCGACGCGTGTCACAGTTGAGCGCGCTGCATCACCACGAAGAGGACAACGCCGCATTCCGCGAAGCGCACTGGTCTCTCGCATAACGACAGGCTCATGGTGTGTCTGTGTGCGTATAAACGGATGAAGACCGACGATGGGTAAAACCGCGACGCAGAAATGTGTTCGTAACTGCTCGCTGCTCTCGCGGGTGGCTACTGCTGGTGGTACTGTTATTATGTATTACGAATGATGATCTCTGACACTGGTGTACACCACTATCGAAGTAGGAGTACTACATACCACTGCGGACCGAGAGTGAGGGTGGGAGATCGAGAGCTGACGTCGCGGCCATGAGCAACGTTTCGCCATCTGATGGCGAGACGAGTGTCGAGCCACCGCCATTACGCGAACGCGGGACATTTCGACGATCCGTCGCGCGACATATTTATTGTTCAATTACACTTTATCACTACACACACTCGCGACATCATGTAGCGTTGCGCTCACCCGACGAGATGATACGTTCGTACGAGCAACATTCATCTAAAATGATGTCAAAATGGAATGAGAAGATGATCGAAAATAAGAGTTTATCACGGTTATTTTTATGTTATCATGATGTTCTGACCTTTGAGCGAGCCGAAATCGCGGAGAATATAGGACGACTCCGGACGCCGCTCATTCCGCAACTGTTCGACTGACCGCGTATATACGTGTTGCAATAGTTGCGATTCTCGAAGCAGCAAACGCGCAAACTTCACGACGGTACTATCGATGGCCATTCTGCCGAGATATTAACCGCTTCTGCGGCTACTTTTTCGGTTTCGCCATTCATGATAGAAGCACTTGAATTTAATCTCAGCATCTACGACGATATCCCGCGCGCGAAATTCTCCCTCGACGAGCGAAGACAGATCTCGGCGATCCATGATCCAACGGCGCGAGACATTCATTATTCCGGCGACTGCATCGCGATAATTTGCCAAGGCAAACGCACGTAATTCACACTCTCGGCACTCTACCGAGGGCGGTAACTCGCGCGCGAGACTCACTTTCGGGGAGTGAAAGTCGCGAAGAACGGTTACTTGAACCGCATAGCGATCCATCCGATAACTGTCCGCGTGCGAGAATCGCCATTTGCGATGTATCGATAGACTCGCGACGCGCTGACTAGAGTGATTCGCTTCTTTGCCGAGAACCGCGCAATTTGAAGGACGCTAAATACTCAAATGGCAGTCCCGAAGCTCGAGATTTTGAAACAAACGGCATCATCAAAGGATTCAATCGCTCATTATCGCGCACCTGCTTCAATCGACTTCAGGTAAAACGATTTCGCGGCTACCACCGACAGGGTACGAAAATAAATAAAAGGCATGAACATTACCGGTTTCGTTTCGTACGTTTGACACGAACCTCTCAAAAACGAAAAATTGAGAAAAGTTAACTCACCATTTGCAAATCCCTGAATTTCGGTGGCGTATAATGAACGCTTAACTTTTCGGAATCAAGAAATCTTGCAAAAAATGAAGTTGATCGCGGTTTAATCTCTGAGAAGTTCGCGTAATTGAATAATTAACCTATGATTAGTGTTAATTTGACGCGTTGTTATTATTATAGATATTTGATCCGGACAATAACGTTACTTACATTGATCGTTATATACTTCATGTAAAAACGCGTTTCTCGAACACTACAATGCGTTTCATTCATTACATATTTAACGACGCGTGTAGTCGTTGATGCGACTAACGCGAAAGCTCGTCTTGTGTGATTTGATCGGTTACTCGCGCCGGTGGGTGGGAATAAAATGCACGAGGGAACAAGCGCATCGGGATCACAAGGGAGAAAACAAGCGACACAAATTAATAAGGTCTTTTTAATAACAGACGAACAACTAGGAGCTACGCGATTGTACCCAAAACATACAAACATACCGATTCGTTCCACGCTCATTCTCGCGCATATTCGCGAATTTTGGCCTCTCTAAGGCCTCTCGACCTGCGTAACTACGCGAAGGGAAAATCGGCGCACGGAAGGGACGCACGTGCTCCTCCTCATTGCCCTATTTGCGTTTATATTTCGCGCACTTTCATTAAGTTAGAGAGCCCCTCCCTCATCTTGAGTCTCATTAGCTATGCACCAGAAATGTATCTAGCGCGGGTGAATGCTACCGACACCGCAGTATCATCAAGGAACGACGAAACGCGCGAGAGTCACGTTCAGTTAGTCTTAGCCTGCTCCATTTCCTGCTTCGTACTCGAAACATTCACAGCCTCTTGGCTCCTCTTCGCGTCGTCTTGAATCGCAGTCACAGCGCTCCTCTTGTCCTCGCTGTCGGCGGACTTTTTCACCGCTCCTTCCTCGTCGTCATCGTCGTCCTCGTCCACCAGGTCATCAATCGATCCTTTGCTCTCGTACAATGCCGGGTACTGCGACATGCACAACTGCATCGTCTTGAACGCCTCGTAGCAGTCGGAGCCCTTTGGCTCCGCGGTGGAGAAGTGGAAGCAGGAAAAAGCCTCGCGGAACTCCAGACCGCAGGGCCCGGTTGCCATGCCGCCCAAACACGGACAGTTCCAATTGATCTCGCCATTGGCCAGCACCAGAAGCGAGTTAGGTTCCGGCGGTGGCAGCTCGATATTGCTAGGATCCGCGTGGTCCTCCTTGGACGCGAAGATTATGGTGTCCTTGCCTTCTTTGACAATCGACGGCATGGTATCTGTCTAGATGGATATTCTTCTTTGAGTGACAGGTCTAATTTAGTGTTCGTACGTTCTACTATCGGCGATGAACGATAGCAAGTTTGGTGATACTCGATGAACTATGTACACGCACGTGTGGCCCTCGTACTTTGTGGCAAAGGTCAGAGCAGCTCTAAGTCGCACGTAGTCGTAGGATGAACAACGTAAAATGAACCTTAGTGTCGCTGGGTCAAATTTCAGGATATCTATTGTACTCTTGGCTCCTTCCTCGCCGAACAATTGACGCACAGCTTGAAGAACGTTCTTCTTCAAGTATATGTGGGTTACTTCTTGATCAGATCGCTGTGACAATTCTCTGCAAAAAATTCTAAATTAAAGATAAACGTATCGCATATAGACCTTATATCGTATTTCTCATTGCAGGCTGTAAAAGTTACCGTTCACAGTATTAGTTTCTATCTATACTCATTGTTATTTATAGCGACATGTAGTCGTGATAAAGGGTATGATGTCAACTTTGCACCTTTTCAAAGAGTTTCCTCTACAAGGTACTGTAAATATTGCATTTAATATATACGATGTAAATGCGGTAGGAATAGCTACGAGTTCCAACAAAACTGAAGAAGACTATAAATCGAGATATTTAACTCGAATGGAGCACCGAACGTTCACGGCTATGGCAACAAGTATAAGGCACAAGTTTATGATCCGATTTTACAGCAGTAATTGTCGCATCACTAACACCTTTTTCACGGCAAAAAATTATATCATTCGCGAGATAAGTAATTCCGCGCTCGCTCGGCGATAAATCAGAACACGTGTAAATTGCACGGTTTGCAAGGTTATGCTACGCGGCGGGATAGCGATTACTGTAAACGCGTGATTACATGAAATTGTGAATGTACTAACAGCGAAACGTCTAAATAATGCATTTTGCGCATTGGAAGCAGTTGGCTCACGACTCACATTGATCTTGCACGATCGAACGGAAGATCTCCCGGACACACTCACGCTACTTTTACGCGATGCAATCGCTCGGCGGCATTTGATTCATGCTTTCACGTGCCCTCGGCGACTGCGGCGACGCCACCAACTCCCGCAGCGCTGCCAACCTCACATAAAATCACCCAATGTGCACGATGACGTATTTTTATAAATATCTTCGTCATTATGCGCGCCAACTGTTGTTCGTCTCGCAACTAACGTTCGCACGTTTTTGCTTTAAACAAAACCGGGCAAAAGCGTCGTGCCCGAGCTCACCTGTACTCACGGAAATGTGACAGGAAGCCGGGCGAACCCTGCCTCTGCAACGTCTCGCAATTCTCTTTTCTCGCACATTCTCCGATCTCGCATATACGTTGTATGCTGCGAACAATATGAACGGGAAATCGAATGAAGTTTAAATACACATTTTTTCAACTAAAGCTTATTCAACTCTTCGTTCGAACAGACACCTACGAATTGTACGAAATATGACCGCGAGACAGTGCGATTCCGCCCAGACAGCGCAGCTTCCGAGAGACGTCAGACAAATGTCTAGAAAAAAATGAGGACACTTTTTTGTGGAAGTTTGCGAGGGGTTTCTCTTCGGGACAATGCGTGCAAACGAATGCGTTCGGACACGACGCATCCGAGAGAGCAGGTCTCATAAAAATTGGACACACTCCGGGGGCGTGTAAACTCGCCATTAGCTCGGCCCTGCGATCGACCACGCGACAACCGATTGCGCTGCGGCGCCGCCGAAGGGGAGCGCTTGTCAAGGGTCCCCAGGAACTCGGCTCTCAGTCGCAGCTCGGCTGTCCGTGCGAGACGTTCGGGCCGCGTTCACCTGCATCGCGTTGCACTCCGCACGTATACACGGACATACAAACACGCTCGCTCGCTGGCTGTCGCGCGCGCGCACACACACACACACACGCACGCACACACACATACATCTCACACACGACACATCTTACAGCTGCACGCACGCACCCACGTACGTATCGTATTATACACACATATACGCTACGTGAGGGAGACGTGCCCGCACACACACGCATACACACGTACGAGCGAGGCGGATCGAGCACACGCGCGCGGGGGTGGTACTGTCGGGACATCAAAGAGACCAGCGCGGTTTTCACGTACATACGGGGTGTGCGTGGACGCGCGCGAGCGAAAAGGAGGATCGAGACGGAACGAGCGAGGACCCATGCGTGCGATATAGACGCCGCGCCGCGCGACGGCGGCGTACACACATACCCGCCTCCCTCACACGGACGCGGGCGAGCCGACCAAACGCTACTACGCCCAAGTCAGTCGGACGTCGGCTCGGGCCCGACGACATCCTGACGGCATCGTTGCTCCTATCGCACGACGTTCCCACGGGTTCGCCACGGACGGCTTCGCGAGAAGCTGACACTCGCGGGGGGGATCCCGAGCGGCCATCAACGGCGACCGGGTTGCGACCCGGGCCCTCGAGCAGCTCGTGACAGTGAAGTGAAGCACGCGTGAGAGACGGCCGAAGAGCGGAGGAGGAGGGACGAGGAAGACATCAGTCTGTGAGGAGGACGAAGTGCGAGAACGAGGGAGATACATAGAAAGAAGGAAAGGGGGAGAGAGAGAGAGAGAGAGAGAGCAAGAGTGACAGAGAGAGAGAGAGAGAGAAAAGAAAAGAGAGAAGGTAGGGGAGTAAGGAAGGAGGCTGCAGGACGGGTGGTCCTGACAGCGAGCGGTGACGAGAGAAGACCGACCGTCCTGAACGAGCGAGCAAACTAGCCGGGGACTAATCGAGGCCCCCGTATATCAATTGGCACACTAGAGCGGGCTTTTTGTTCGTAAAACGAAATCAAAAGAAAAGCATACGATCGTGTAACGCTCGCCGCGAGCGCGCTGGACTTCTCTCGAGAGAGCTTACCCTTGGTGTTGGATATACCCCCTTGGTCCAACCCTTGGGCTAAGGCTATATAACCCTACCGCGACGAGATGAACACCCTTCTCCTCCGGCTCGTCCGACAGTGCATGAGTCTAGTCGGGCGGTATCGTAGCGGCCGTCACTGACCATACTGGCAACACTCCTCCATCGTCATCATCATCATCACCGGCAGCGTGTACCCTGCGTGTCTCCGGGAAGGAAGTGTCTCCGCACGCGAGCGAGTGGTCACGCTTCGACGGCGTCGCGCGAGGCAACATCGGACGAGACGACGGGCGGCAGCGGATCGTCGCCGGCGAGAATCATCGCGATCGTCCCGCATCATGAGGGCCTAGCGTTCGACATCGTGGGTCATCGTGGGTCGTCAGCGTCGGGCGTGCAAGGTAGGACGGCGGCGCGCCGGCGGAAGCCTGGATAGTAGGAGGAGGAGGCACCCGACAACATGGCCGCCGCCTGCTACGAGAAGGAAGTGGTGGTAGGTGCCGCCATGCACGGACACGGACATCATCATCACCACCACCACCACCATCATCATCATCACCATCATCACGGCGGCGGATTAGGAACGTCGTCCGGCGACGCGACCGGGCAGACGGTCCTGCCAGCGGCGTCCACCGGCCTCGACGACGCCGCCTCGGCCGTCGCCGCTTCTGCCGGCACGTCCGGCAGCATCAACAACGTTGTGAACGGGAACACGACGGCGAGCGCTACCGCGACCGCCGCTACCGCGGCGGTCACCACCTACAAGGACTACTCGCAGCCGCTTCACGTGGACTGCAGCGTCGAGTACGAGCTGCCGAGCCAGGCGAAGCCGCCGCCCGGCGGCGGCGAGCCCCTCCTCATGATCCATCCGTGCTACTATCGACGCGCCGAGCGCGAGAGGAGAAGCCCCTTCGTCAATAATCTGCCGCCGCCAGCTGCGCCGGCGACGGCATCCATGTCCGCGTCTCGCAGAAGCGGCAGGAGGAGCGCCGCGACCGCTGGTGCCGCTGTGACGGTCGCTACCGCGACGGTCGCGGTCGCGGTCGCTTCGTCGACGACGGCCGCCGTATTGCCATCGAACGGCAACCTCGTGTCCTCCAACGTGCCCACCTCTACCGTGTCGCCGGCGACGTCCGTCGCCTCGTCTTCGGTTACCGCGGCGGCGGTGGTGGCGACCGCGGATTCTGGCAGCAGTCTCATATCCACGAGCGGCCAGATGTCCGTCGCCATGGCGGCCTCGTATCGCGCGGCGCTCAACGTCGCGGCCACCTTGTCTCAGCAGCAACAACAGCGGCGGCATCATCCCCAGCAGCAGCAGCAGCCGGGTCATCATCATCACCACCATCATCATAGGAATCACGCCCATCAGCAGCATCACAGCCAACAGTCGCAGCAACAACGATCCGTGACACCAACGGCTTCCGGTACCGACCTCATCTCTGCCGACGAGAAGGCAGTCATATCAGGTATTTATCAACATTACTTCCGCGCCATGCGCGCGCACAATCATCAGCACCGCCAGCAGCAGCAGCAGCAGCAACAGCAGCAGCAGCAGCATCGTACTACTCATCAGCTTCATCATCAACCTCACCAAAGCGACCGAAGTTCCTCCTCTTCGTCGGCCACGTCGCCGACGTCCGCGTCGATCTCCGGTATCTTACGGCAGACCTATCAACAGGCGTACAGCGGCGCGGCCGCGAGCTCGAGCTCGTCCAGCAGCCATCATCGCGGAGCTGCCACGGCGGTCGCCCATCATCCCTACAGGCGACCGTCGGCGACCTTGCTGTCGCGGGCAGCTTCGCACATCGGCCAGCAGGCTTCTTCCTCCTTGTCCTCCACCTCCTCCACCTCGTCCATTTTCGGTGCTTCCAACGGCGTCACCGCCACCGGTGTCTCCAGTGTCTACGCCAGCACGTTGCACAGAACCTCCCTGCACGCCCTCCAGGCGGCCGGTTTCTACGAGACACCGGGTTATCACGCCCTCCTGCCCCAAAGTTAGACGACAGCGGGGAGCTCAGGCGGTTTCGCGACTCCGGTGTTCGCGGTGTTGGGCGTCTACGCGTGATCGAATCGAACGCTTCTTCCTCCCGCCCGGTCGGTCGGTCCTCGATTCTCCACCGACTCGCGACAGCCTGGCTACTCCCCTCTTCCTCCGTCATTCATTATCAAACGCTTAACAGAAATCGATCAAATTCAATAAGGGAGCCGGGGCGCTGAAATCGCCGCTTATTATTATTCGTGATTCTCGCAAGGCGCGGCTCTCAACCGCAGGGTATATTTGGCCGCTGTCGTTGAGTGACGGCCAACCTTTGACTAATTAGACCCAGCGAAATGATGACGTCGCTCGAGCGCGCGTTCCGCGTCCACGTGTAGACCGCGAACCTGAACTATCGCTTTACTCGCGTGACTCACATAGACAGCGCATGATCAGTGCGGACGCTGCCCGCGTAACGACCGCGTTCAGTCTCTCCTCTTCGCTTCCTCTCATTTCCCGAACCGCGTTCGTTACGGCGCCGTTTAATCGATCCTATTGATTTCGGCGATTATTTTTCCAACGACACACCTACGATTCTTCCGTGATCGGGGAAAATTCAACGTCCCGTTGACGTTTCCGCGTGTACGATTCGGTCGACTCGCAACACGTGCGGCGAGCACGTAGTGCATCTAATTAACGGAAATCGAACGGTCTACGCCGGTAGAACCGCCGGACGAACTTTTCCACCTCTGAAGAATCTCCGGTCTATCGAGCGATACGCGCCAGTGTTGCGACGTCAAGTACACAAAATAGTCTGTCCGCGGTAGGTTGTGTATATTCACCGGCGTATAAAATGCTCTCTCGCCCAGACGATTCGTCTGGCCGCTTCCTCACTCGCACCTAACTCGGTCTGTGACCCCGGCCGTGGCTAGACACATGAGTCGTTTCAGCCATTTCTACGAGCGGTCCTCTTTCATCTTCGACATCCTCATTCTGCTCGCGACACCACCACGTAACGCGACAGTTGGCGAACATTCTATTCGTGTAGACGACACGTGGACACCTCCGGTTAGACTTACGTTGACTGTTTGAGGACGTACCGTTCATCCTCACGAAGGAAAACTCGCAGGCACATTCGCGACGGCGACGAAGAACGTGGAGCAAGGTCGTCGCCATCGTAAATGGCGGGCGTCTCCTTCCGAGGCACGCCGCTATGTCGGATTGTGATCCGGTACTGCGCCTCGGTGTGAATCCACCTTAATCCGAACGCGGAGAGAAGCCGCGCTCTCTCGCCCCGTTCCGCGCGACTTATCATCTCGATCGTTAAAAGTGCATGCGGGTGGGTCTATAGCGCGCATAGTCGGCATAGGGTACATCTGTCTCCTCCCCGCGCGCACATACGGGGTGTCCCGAAGGCACGGCGAAGAACCTCGCTCTGACGGAGGTTCGCACGCAGTTTCATTTACTTACCGCTGAGCATGAATCGCTGATTCTTCCTTTGTACGCGTGGTCCACGATGTATCTCGGGAGATACAGCTCCTGTATATACTTTTTTTTTATGCTACCTCCTACCTAGAGAAAAGCATTTCGGATAACTGCGTTAAATTACGGTAAGCTCTTGCATTTCCACGTCGGAACCGTCTCGACGTCGCGTTTCGTCCCAGCCGATCTTACAAATCAATTTTTTATACATTGTTACTATACTTAAGACGAATACACGATGTGCTGTCGCATCAGTTAAATATTGAAATATCGGAACAAACGCAGACTGCTCTTACGCGATACTGTCGCGAAGGATCCGAATTTTGTACGGATCGGGTGGAAAGAAACGTCGAAAGACCGCGAGAGTTGGATAAACGAGTTCTAATCCGATCGTCTGATCCGATCGTTTCCCTAAGATACGTTTGTCGTTAGTGAACAATTTGTGGCACACTTTTTATGTATTTTTATATTTTTGATGTATTCTTATGTATATATCGGATATAGTATATTGTTATATATTTTTTATTTGTTTTTCAACGGATTAAACCCATTTGACGATATATAAGAAAGAAGCCGAATAAAAACGCAGAATGATTTCTTTTGCCGAGTGTGAAATTTCAGTTGCGAAGGTGGGCGAATCTTAAGGCTGAAATTTCTTTGTCAAAGAGCTAAGGTCTTCCAAATTTCCGACCGTCCACTCGAAAGTGGTTAAACGCTTCGTAATGTATTTGCCGAAACCTGATTCCTCAGTCATCTAAGCCACAACCGTTTCGTGACTCAAGGAAGATGAGGAGAGTCCGCGTTTCTTTCCCTCCCTTCCCCCTCTCTTTCTCCCCTCATGTTGCTCCTCTCTGCTTGGTTTTTCCAGTACTCGCGATTCGAAGAAATCTCAAGTTGCGAGACACCCTGTATATCATCACCGACAACGATCGTACGTGCCGTGTTCGTTGTTGACGGTGAGCGGGTGGCCGGACGGACGGGCACCGAATAAACACACGTCGTGCTCACACACATACGCGTTATACGCATACACAACGTACACACACACGTGACGGACCTGACGGATGGACGGAGGGAAGAGGGACAGTTGAAATGGTCGTCGCTCGTACACGTCAGGCGTGTTTCCATCCACCTGCAATGAGCGCGACTCAGGTAGAGAGACAGAGAAAGAGAGAGAGAGAGAGAGAGAAAGAAGAAATCCGTTTGCTTAGGGCCGCATTAGCATCTACGTTCTGGCGGAGTTTTCGGGCCCCTCGAGAACCCGAAGACGTCGTTCCTCCGGCTCGCCCCGTTCCCCTTCGCGGCTCGTCCATTATTCAGTATGCTCGAAACGATAGAGGACGTCGCCGGTATTCTTGAAGAATGGACAGCGCGCTCGGTTTTCAGGGTTCCCCGATACCGTAGATCCGCGGGACAACCCCGGTGGACCGTCGCGCTGTAGTTCACGAGTAGTTGTTGGTGACGGTGTCATCCGGAGGGTTCTTTGTAGGTAGAACGGAAGAGAGGAAAAAGAGGCACGTGAATTTCTTTCATACACCGGGACGAAGGTCTTGGTTGCGTCGATTCTCTCATTTTCGATTCGGAACTCGCAGTGCTGCGGAACTTTAGGTCGTCTTGTCAGTTTCCCTCGTGGACTGTCATACGCGCATCTTCGATCCCACGGATCCTCGGTTACGCGTATCCACGAAGCCACACACACACACACACAGAAATCTCTGTATCCACAGTTGTGCGAAGCCGCAGACTTTTAGGTTCGTTCACAGGATGTCTGAGGAGTGTCGAATATCCGTACGACCGCAGAAGAAGCAGAAGACAAGCTGAAAGTATGAACGGAAGAGCGCACGCGGAGCAAGGCGACGCTCCTCACGTTTGTCACGCGCATCGTAAATCTTCTCGCAAATGACACTCTCGATTTCTTCTCCGATAAGAAAAAGAAATCATTTTCAAGATATAGCATCGAGTCCCTCTATATTTCTCGCCAGGTTTCCCCAGCCTACCTATTCTTCGCATAAATTGGTCGGGCGCTTGCGTGATCGAAAATCAAGGGATAAAGACGTAAGATTTCGCAAGATGAGAGAGTACAAATTCGCAGCGTCAAAATTTGAGACGCCTCGATTGTTCCCTCTCATATTTATCTCTCTTAAAGTTATCGCCCAGATGATTTATTCCTTATCTGTTTTCCTTTCTCCCTGACCTCAGATACGAAAACAAACGTTCATCCTGGTCTGGTGGCATTTTTCCCACCAAAACTCGCTCTCTCTTTAGAGGGAAAGAGATATATATATATATATATATAATGAGGTCCCTTTCGAAACCTTTCAAATTCCTTGCCTCCATTATTCAGCAGTTCCAGCCGAACGAACGAACGAACGACGACGCGACGCGATACTACGTCGATCGCGACAGCGAAAATCGATGTCGCGATGACGCGATCGACGCCGAATGATAAGCATCGCCTTGCCGGCGACGTCGCCGTGATAGCGACCGGAGCTTTCCGGCCGACTGGAATTTCACCTCGCTGTAGAAAGTCCTTCCTGCCCCGGTGTTCTTCTTCCTCTCTGCTGAACTCTCCGATTTTTTCTCTCTCTCCTCTCTTTTTTGCGGTGATTTTAATACCGCCAAGACTACAAGCTGATAACGCACTAACGTTCTGATTTATCGGTCGGATATACCAAGAGAGAACCGTGGGGAGACTCTTACGGAGATAGAAGAGAGAAGTCATAAGCAAGAATTACAGCGGTTGTATCTAGTTTATTGCGAGATACAGATAGTTGAACATTTCGCGCTCCCTTCTTAGTCCCGCCAGGGTTAATTATTCGCGTTCTGAAATTATCCCACTCCTCCCGCGGGAAAGATATAATCCGAGGTTTAACCCTGGCAGAACCGAATGCTGACGTGTAACACGGCGAGCCGAGGGTGGGTCATTTATCGTCGAAAATTCGGGAGTTGGCCCGCACGATTCGACTTCGAATTAGTTGAACAATCTGTCCCCGAAATTAAAGTCGATGGCCGCGGAGACCTATCTGTTTAACGAAACTCGCGTAACGAGTTTTAACAACGCATATCGGTCTTACGTGCGAGTTTTAAGAGTCGCGCAATTAGCGTTTATTATCGCCAATCGGCTGACAAGAGCGCGAGAAATTACACTACTGGGCGGCGGGGAAATTCTGGAGCTTCTGGCTTTCGTAGGGCTTTCGCCGAGCACGGGACGATTCCTCCCCGGAAGAAGCGATACTCGCCACGAGCGATCGCGGACGGAATTGTCGCGGCGCAATTAACGACGGGCGACGCAAAAACGACGTGTTTGCCAGAGATCACGAGATACCCGTCCCGCGATGCTTGAGCAACAATTAAAAGCTCGTTATTCACGTCGGTCTATTAATTATTCACGATGCCGGTCGAGCGGATCGCGCGAATGCAAAATCGGAAATTATCTCTGCTTAGGACGTCCTAAAGTTGATTGAACCAGCTGTCACGAGCTATGGCAGTCTGCTGCGCTGGCATTATCGTATGCGCAGTGTAACGTACTGCACTTCTAAAATAATAATCATAATTATTATTTGTCTGCGGGAGGGAACTCTTTAATTACAAGATGAACAAAAGAGAGCAACGACGTGAAAAACGGAAACGAAAAGAGAAAGGTAGAAAAAGAATAATACGCTAG